CTGGGATCGCTGTGTGCAATCACACAAGCTGCACAGGTAGAGTGTGCTTAACGTCTTTGGGTGTCACTGGACCTAGTTCTCGTGTTCTAGCAGAGTGAGTCTGATGATACACATCATTTATGGCATGATAAGAATAAGAACTGGGCAGCACATGCATAGTGAGTGCTGTGTGTCTACAAGTGTTAGATCTAGGGCAAGTGCATATCTCTCTGGCAGTGCTTTGACTCTCAGGGAAAATTATTGAAAACTGATGTGTAAATACACAGTTGATGTGCCAAGGGTTTCCAGACTCAACAGCAGCTTGATCGGAGTGGCATATCCAGAAATCCCAGACAGCAGGGTGGAGAAAGGGAACATGTTTAGAAAGCCTAGACATACCATATTTTTAGTCCTATGAGGAGTTAAAAAGCAAATGCTCACAAAAATGCCTTAATATACTTTAAAGAAAAAGTCTTTTCAAGCAGAGAGTATAGTATCTTCAAACTTGCCTATTAAAATTCTACTGAATGATTAATTTTCACTAATGCAAATTAATTTAGAATTTCTCAATATTGTCTCACATTAATTTATTCAAGATAAATGTTCATCCTCGTTAAAATCAGTTACAATTATTAAGTTACAAGTATTAAGAATATCGCTCAGAGTGCTTTGTTTCCATGCATATGTAGCATACAGCGTTTTGCATATCACTAGTTAATACGGAGGCTTGCAGGTGTGTACAAAACTTGTAACTGGCTGACACATCACTTGTGCTCATTTGAAATACCTTTCAAGCATTTTTCACAAAAGTCTGTATTTCTCTTTGTAGCAGCTCAAAACAGCGCGGTTTGTTATGCCAGCAAACGCAGCCTGGTATTTAAATAAAAGGAATTTGTTGTGTGTTTTACTGACTTTTTTCTACTTTTTTCTACTTTTTTCTACTGAATGTGATGTTGTCCTCTGCTGGATATCTGAAAGATATATGTTACTACCACAATTTTCCTTCGCTAAAATACTGGAAGCCTGACTTCTGCAGCTAGAAAGGAAGAGAGGAAAGCCAACAGCCTCCTGGGCTGCATTAGAGCAGTGCCAGCAGGTCAAGGAAGATGACCCTTCCCCTCTGCTCAGCACTGGTGAGGCTACATCTGGACTACTGTGTCCAGTTCTGGGCTTCCCAGTACAAGAACGACATGGACATACTGGAGCGAGTCCAGCAAAAGGATATGAAGATGATGGAGGACTTGGACCATCAGCAAGGAGAGGCTGAGAGAGCCTAGAAAAAACAAGGCTCTCACTAGTTGCCCTAGGTGTTAAGATGGGTGTGAACAGGGTGGGATGCAGTAACTTTCCCAACAAACCTAAGCTTCTTTCAGGCATTTTATAAAAACATTTTGGAACTAGTCTGGAAACAAAACCGAGAGTTATCAGCCCTTTTTGCAACTTCTTCCCTTTAAAATGCTTCCATAGAACCAATTTCACTTCTTTGCATAGATTGTGTCATGTAAGGAGTCTGGTTCTGCCACCCTTGTCACATGCAAGAATCCTGTCATGTATATTCAGCCTCATTGAGTTCAATGAGTTTTATTCTTCTGAGTAAAGGTGGCAGATTTTATGAACCTTGCAAATATATTAGTAGCAGAGATGTCTCCAGTATCTTTTCCTCAGGCACATGAGCCAACATCGTATCCTATCACAGAAATGAGAACTAGCCTGGCTGTTGAGTTTACATGATGCAAAGGGACGGTGGCATTTGCATTCAATTCTTGGCATGGAAGAGAGGCTGTGGTGCTGTGCTGCGAGGAAAGGACATTCAGTCTTGCTGGGGAAAGCAAAGGGGAGGGAGGAGGCATGAAGTAAGATCCTAGTAAAAGGCTCGTGTTCAATGTTCAAGACTTAATAAGTATTGTGGTTTCCTTGTGCTGTACAGATGACCACAGTGATTTCATATGGTTTGCTAATACATGTTTGACAAAGCTATAATGTCACCGTGATCCTTGAGGGACCGACCTGGTTATCCTTGCCAGACATTACTGCTCAAGAAGACTGCATTTGAGAGGGGGAAACCATTTTCAGCTGAACACAGACCACAATCGCTATGCCTGAAGAGGATACAAGTGTATTTAAATAATAAGGTATTTGCTTTGCAGAAGATTGGCATAAGCTTTTGCACAGACCTGTTAGCTTAAAGGCTTATCTCTTTTAATGCTAAGAAGTATTTCCAGTGTGTTCTCACTGAAGGCCTGCTCAGGAGCAGCTGCTTCCGCAGCACTCCATGTGTGCATAAGCCCTTAGTGAGATGGCATTTTCTGTTTGGATGATCAACATGCACATTTTTTATATATCCAGCCTTTGTGCTTGGGAAGATAAGAAGAATCTTCTCCCTGCATTATTCTTTAAATGCCAAAAGCGCTTTTGTTTAAATACAACGTGTCAAGCAAATGCTTATCTACCACACTTTTCCCAATAAGAAAGCACTATTTATTCTTGCTATCTCTTCACTTAACGTGTTTGATACTTTTCCTACCTCTCCTAAGACTGCCCAAGTGTTTTCCCAACATTGTTTCACTTTGATGTGCCTGTACCGTGTTACCTTTCAACTCCTTGACACCATATTAAAACTGATAGCCTCCGAAGAGAAAGAGTTTTCTTGCTTATACTTCATGCATAAGTGGCAGGTTGTTGCTGCTATTTTTTTTTAAATTTTCCTCCCTCCTTTTTTTAATGCACCTGTGTGCTGGGAGTGTTCTTGTGCTTTGCGATAATGCATCTCTTTGACGAGCTTCCTGTCTCTTCTCTTGGGTTTTTGTATTTTCTAGGATAGCCATTTACAGCTCTTTCTCTGGGACTGGTAAATCCTGTGGTTCTGAACTAAGTGTCAGCCGCTGGCAGGCTGCGCAGGAGGAGGGATTACCCTGCCTTTGCCTTGCTGCTGTTGCTCTTGCCCCAGTCCGCTGCTGCCGGCCACCGCCAGAGAGGGGGTACCAGGATGGATAGCTCAGTCCAGCCATTTTTATGTTCTCATGTAACTTTAAATTCCTCATGTGTGTTAAGATCTGGGAGTGTGTGGAAATGGCTACATGGTGTCTCGAGGGCCTGATCCCGCCAGGATTTAAGAAATGCCTGTACGTACAAGTGCCTTATTCCCACGCTCTCCGTGACACTGTTCCTGAGGCTCTGCGCACAGCGGTGCCGGCTGCCAGCGGCTCAGGCCAGCCTCGAAAAGCGCAGGGCTTGCTTAGCTCTTCCTAGGGTGGCCTCAGGAGTTACAATCTTTCTTTCTTGCAAATACACTGGCTCCTTCATAATCCCCCTGGTCCCCACAGCACAGAGGAAGGGTCTGAGTGGGGCTCAGGGGGTTGCCCCACAGGGTACTGCAGCTACGTTGTCAGCAAAAAGACTCTTCTCCTTTTTCCACCTTATTCCAGCTGCCTGTTCTCCTTAGGTTCAGTGATTACATCTGTTAGTGTTTTGGGGCCTAACATCGCATGAAAGGAGAGGTAGAAACAGCCTTTCTTTCTAAAATGACTCTTTTCTCTAGTCCACAAGGCTCGTTTATACTGTCTCTATCTGTCCCGCCATACCTGCTGCAGTCCTTTCCTGCAAACATATGCACAATCAGTTCATGCAGCTCTTCCCCACAGCTACAAATGGTTTGCAGAAAGAATTGAGAGACATTAAGGATTTTATTTCATTGCATTTTCTGTCCTGGAGAGTTTGGTTAGGCATGAATCAGTTAAAAAACATTAAAGAATTATCATGTTTTTCCTAGATAAACATGTTACATAAATAGAGTCATTTTTTAAGTAGGTATAAATGCCTTGTAACAAATCTTTATGTGATTCTGCCTCCATTCCTCATCCTCTGAACCCCATTTTGAGTGACTATCTGTGCTTCCTAGCTGGAGCAGCCCTTTTCAGCCGATGCAGTCTGGCAGGCCTGCAGCCCCAGGCTCCCCTGGTCTCTCCTAGAGATCCTTACCAGCCCCTGCCTGGGGCAGCTCTGCACTTCATGCCACGCAAGTTGTTCTTAAGATGCCTCATGGCCCATTTTGTCTCATCTCTAGTACAGAAGATTAGATACAAAATGAGTTTAGGTTCAGCTCTGCAAGCATATTCAAGTTCTTAAATCGTATCAAACACATCCTACTGGGTGTTAGGAGCCCAAATGCCTCTGTGGATATGGGCTACAAGCACTTCAAACTTAAATAGAACAGAGCCCAGCAAGTGCTCTGATGTCCAGCATCACTGCAAAAATGAAATAGCAGTGGGAGAGGTGGTATCAAACCAGGATTTTTCTTTGAAAATTAAACTGAAGGAAATATCAGGCCTTTTACAGGTGCCAGCTCTTTGTACTCTGTATATGAAGGCTTAACATGAGATCTGAAAAAGGCGGTGTGTTCCTCCTGGAGCCACCAAGGTTAGGGTGAAGGAAATGTTGTAAAAACAGTGTATCATCTTGAATCTCACTGCCTTCCCACCAGTAGTGGGAACTGGAGGTCCACAGCTCAAAACACCCTGCCAAGAGGGGCAGGCAGCATGCCCTGGTCTGAAAAAGTAACTAAGCAGTTTGGTTTTGGGAAATGCGGGGTTTCTTTAATGTTGTGCACCAACAGTTAAAGTACTTATACTAGGTTCACTTTTGTTTTCTATCTGGAAGGGTCCAAATCTACATCTTCTGCTTCCCAGCAAAACCTCCTAGCTGCCAAGTTAAAGGCTGCCCTGGGCAAGAACGTCTTTGCTCTCCCTCCATACCTGGCAGGTGTAGAGGAGAGTGCTTTTTTCCACCAGCAAAGAGCACATAATTATGCATTAGAGAGCACAGGCTGGAAAGGAAGAGAGCCCAAATACTTCTGCACAGATTAGGGATCACAGAGCATAAAGTAGACTCAGGAGAGGAAGGCAGCGGCTCCCCATCAGCCCCACAGAGCTGTGGGAGGGCCGCAGGGTTCACCACTATTGACTAAACTTTGAAGATGGTCAGGCTCTTCCCTGGGGGATTTTTATTCTCCTAAGTTCTTTCTTTATCACATATCCTTTTCTAACCTTCCCTCCTGAACGTTGTTTGTTTCAATCCCCTTAGGCTCATTATTGGCAAATGCGTACAGAGGTTTAGCTTTGGGGCTGTCCCGATCTGCAGCCAGTTGTGTTTATGCTTTCTTCTAACAGCACCTCTGTGAAATAGAAACTGGCCCTGCTTAATGCCAAGCAGTCCTCAGCAAAAAGATTATACATGTAACAGGCATGAAAACAGGGCTGCAAACCCCAGACTAATGCTGAGTAAGAAATCCCCCTCTGTTTTGCAAATCATTCTTGCTGGGCAAACCCCTGCTTTGGTAGTTGTCAGCTTTTGCTGGCCCTAACTAGCAATCAGACACCTCCAGTGCTCTCCCATCCTTCTCCAAAGACATCCTACCATACCTGTACTGCCTTCTTTTGATACTTTCCTCTCTGCTTATTTTCTGACACCTGTATGTTTTCTTACTAGGATGCATCTATTCTGTTTCAAGATACCTGGCTCTGCTCTACTTGTAAGAATCCACCATCCCGTGTTTTGTCTAAACTCTTACATGTGCTTCAACATCCAAAGTGCACTTGCTGGCCTTTACCTGACTGGTTGGCACGCTGGATTAGGAAAAAGTGCCTGAAATACATAAATGGCCAATGCTGTATTAAGAAATGTTGCTCTTTTTCAGAATACCGAAGTATTTCCTAATGTTATCATAAATTCAGGTAAGGAGATATTTGCTTTTTAAAAATGAGTTTTACAAATATCCCCTGAAGTGCAGCAGTTCGCCACTTTGTTTTCCCTGTTTGTATTAATGGCTCTTTTTGTTTTCTCAAAGCACACCTTAGGTTAAATCTAAGTTAACCACAGAAAAGGTCAAATTTTTTTCCAAACTTTTCTGGAGCACAATAAACTTAATATTTTAACAGCTGGCAGCTGTGGTAATTACTTTTAGATGATACCTAAAGTCTGTTGGAGTCTAATTACTCTGATCTATGAACCAGGTAATTAAGGTAAAAACTCCCACATTTTGTTAGACCTCATTAATGTATTTCCTTTGAAAATTGTTAGCTAATGATGGTACATTAAGAGTTTATCCATGAAACAACAATGAATAATTAAAAACTTTGTCCCAGAACATTAAAGGACAGAACAATGTTTAACAGCTCAGTGTCTTGATGGTTATTTCTTAATTTGTGGTGCGAATATCATGCAAGTTTTGGGGAGAAAGGACCAATCAAACTGGGAAAGTGGCACGGAAAGACATAAATAATTTTCTTTTCCTTCATTTACTTGGTATCTGGTTAATAATTCAGGAGGTGTGGAGACTCCCGAGGAGCTGATATTTCTCCGGCTGCCTGGAGCTGGACTAGCAGCACAAAGAGATGCGAGGGCTTGTGCCCGGCAGGCACGCAGCGGCTGGCCATTTCATATGGAAAGCGCTGCTGGGTGTAGCATCACCTTTCAGGCTGTGGATGGGCTCCCTCACACTCCTCCTGCAGGTGTGGAGACACCGCTTCCCAGCACCATGCTGCTGCCTGGGTGGGAGGGCAGGCTGTTCAGGGCAGCCTCGCAAGGTGCCTTCTGGAAGGGTCCTTGCTCAGCTGCTACCGAGGCTGCGAGAGCTTCTTTCAGGCACTCTGGTCCTGGGGGAAAAGCTGGGAGTCCAAATCTCACCCCTAACATCCGTGGAAAACCTTTGAGTGTTGTACATGTGTCAGGAAGGCTGTTGCTACAATGGCTACAAATGAAATGTAGTATGTGAGTGCATCATAGTGAAACCGTGTGCTCCAGTAGAAGAGCGGGTGGTGCATGCATCTCTCCTTCCGAGTGAGGGGGACAGGACAGAGTAACCAACCGAGATACTAGGTACAACCGAAACTGTGCAGCAGACCTAAAATGGTGGCAAAGCAAAGCTGCTTTCCCTTATTTTTACTTATGAGTCTAAGGCTTGTGTTATTCTTAACTATGCTGTAGTGCAAGCTATTATCTGATAGGACGCAGCAGGCACTGGCTGTATTGCCATCCTCTGCTCTCCACCATGGAAAAGGAGCTCCAGCTGTGTCTATTCTCTGGGGGAAGTTTTCATAAGGATGGAGGATCGAAGTCAGGATATTTTCTAAGAAACTTCAACCTCTGGCTGCCTGCGGGTGCCTTGTCCCACTTGCCCACAACCTCTGATGCCAGCTGGTATAATTAATTCCCAATATGTGTTATCACCCAGAAGACCGGGATCAGCACTTGGGTCTGAGTGTGCCAGGCGCTGGGAGGACACACAGTGCAAATACATCTCTCTATCAGTAACCAAATCTAACATATGACACGCTGCAATAAGAAGGGTTAGACATGGGGGAATGGAAAAACAACCTGTGGCTGTACAGCCTATGTAATCACATAAATCAATAGATAGATCAATGTTTTCTTGAGGTAAATGAAATTAATCAAATATCAGAAATTTCTGTTGGTCATGTAAAAGCTGCTACAGAATAAGCTCATTTACTTCAGGACTTCTCAGGACTGGCTCCACAGTACCAAATGAGGCACGCACTTGTTGCAAGGCAGCATACCGAGGGGGTCCATCTGTACTCAAGTATTTAATCTGATAAACCTGAAAGCTTCAAATTTGATTGCAGCTGGTCTGCAAAATAACGACTTTGGTGGGAAACAGTTGAGGCATTGGTTTTGGATCAGAACTTCAAAGAAAAGTTTCGGATGATCATCTGTTAGACCATCAAGGACCTGAGTAATTACATATCTGGTGGGATCCCTGTGTACAGGAAAAAGAACAGTCTGAAACATAATATAATTTGCCTGTATTTAATTTTTGTCTCCAATAATGATATATATTATTTATAAAGTCCAAAAAACTAATGAAGTAAGATTTTCTGTGAGGTGTTTTATTTATAAGGAAATGAGTTAAACAAATGAGCTAATTAGGAAAATTAAGGATAAAAATGTTGATTCAATATGAGAGAGATGCACACATGGCTACTCAGGAAATCCTGCTGTAAGAAATTACCAAGGCCAGATTACCAGACACATATCTGCTAAAAGATTAAATCAATCAATGTTGGAACTGCTTTTTCTCAAGAAACTAGGTGCTGTCAAATCCACTTCTTTCAAATCATTATATATTCCCACTGGGTCAAACTTCTGGCTTGAAGCCAAGTCTTCAATCAGTTTTTGTCCTATTTTTCTTCCTGCTTCAGTAGACATAGCCTTTTGCCAGAGCTTCAGCAGCAATCCTCCTTGGAAAGAAACACAACATGACATTGTCAAATTAACATGGAGCACAGGCAGCTTGCGGCACGCAAGGGATGAAGCGCACGTCTGGCAACAAACACCCACCACTCTCCTGTGGACAGTGAAATGTAGACAAAGCTGGAGCGTGCTGATGGGGTAATAATTGCCTACAACTGTGTAGGGAGACACAGGCCATTCATTCATCTCAGGATCCTTTGTATTGATAGGCAACTGGGCTTGTTCCCTTGTCACCAGTGTTACAAGTCAAAATGATTGAAGATGCTTGTTAAGGTCTTGTTCTGCAATTGCACATAGCTTTATGGCTTATGAAGCAGTAGCCTGGTAGTTATAATCATGTACGTCTTTGTTTTTACTCTAAATCAACCAAGAATTTGCACTTCTGCCAGCTAAGGGCTCAAGTTAAAGAAGCAAATTATCCTAATACTTTCATCCAGGCAATGAGCAGCAGCTCTCTAGGAAGCGTGCCTGAACAGTCTAGCATTAGCACCAGTTTGCAGGATAGTCATTGCCTGCTCCCCAGTCCTCTCAGTGCCGAACTTTATGGTGAATAAAGGGTCCACAGAGGAAATCTGAAGGTAAAAAAAGTCTACTAGAAAACGAAGGCGAGTTTATTCTCCTGCAAAACCTGCTTTTGTATAAAACTAGCAACAGCGAAGAACTGAATTTGCACAGTATTGTACAAGGGAGATGAGGAGTTAAGAGGAGAAGGCAGCTAATGGTCCTCTTGCATAGGAGGATGGCAGAAAAGGTGAGGACAGCAGGAAAGGTCTCAAATAACAAGGCATCTGCTGTTCTGCCTTCAGATATCAGTGAGGGGCAGAGCGTAAAAAGTAAAGCTTCTGACTGTCTGTGAGTCAAGAAGCCTTAGAGATAGCACAGCACTCTCTCAATACAGGTTTCTGTAGGACTGGTAGAGGCAGCTAGAGGAAAATAAAGAGTAATCAAACTCTGAATCAAGAAATCAAATCTCACTCTGCATTGCACAGGGTCCCATTCTAAGAGGTACTGAGACCCTCTATCTGCAGCTGAAGTTTGCAGCACCAGAAAAGGACTCCACATCTCATAGGATGTATTTAAAAGTTTGAGGAATTTAACTCTACAAAAACAGTATTGACATTTTGTCATCTGAGTTTTGTAGCAATAAGATCTAGTGTTTCAGGTCCCTGCTGAGGCTGTGGATCCAGACCCAAGTCAAATTTAGTTTAAAGCTCCTTTTCTGGTCTGCAAAGGAGTCACCAGGTTGAGTTAGCAGGCATTTAACTCTCAGCTGAATGCAAAGCCCATCCTTTCAAAGCAGAGTCAGGGAAATCTCTGACCTGCAAGGGATTTCAGCTACAGATTTCATTATGGCTGCACCTGCATGAAACTTCTTCATCCCTCCGTTTCCTTCCCTCTACCGTGTTCGGCATCCATGCCTCTTCTCCTCTCTCCCTCCAGTGCTGCCCTCATCTGCTCTGCTGCCCTGGTGCTCGGCTCCCTCCTTGCTGCCCTGCTGGTGCTGCTTTTCCTTGCTGTGCCCCCCTGCCCTGCAGGAGGTAAGTCAAGAAACCCTGAACTGTGTCACAGGCTACCAGGCGTGGGACAGAGCGGTTAAGGTCCCTATTAAGACTACGAGCACCCCTCGTGCTATGTGGAAGGTGCGCAGGAAGCACTGTGTGATGTGAGGATGCTCTTTTGTAACACTGAATAGCTTCATTAAACGGCCTTTTTCAGCCGTAAACACAGCTGGTGAGAGAATTTTCACTGAAATGAATAGACAGAAGAAGCAGCTCACAAAACAATGCCATAGCTCTGGATATTAGTTTTTCAGTGTATGTTTATATTGTGTTTTCATTTAAAGGTTCAAAATAGCTTTTCTTCACAAAGGGCAAGCAAAAATATCCAACCCAGCAATATCTAGGAACGAACTGAAACCTCGAGAGGGTGTAATTCTGTGTCTCACCGCTGGATGGTGATGCACAACTGATTTTAGCGAACGTGAAGAAGCCGGCATTGTCTAAGGATACAGTTTTGCTGGGACAGATGATATTCTCTGTTAAACCAAAGATTGAGACAAAACCAAAAAAACAAAACCAGAACACTTGTGGACGCACAAACTGTTGTTCATGATCATTTGCCCATTATTTTGTAATGACCTCAACTGATCTAATAACTTCATTTAGAGCTTGAACAGTTTCAGATTTAACTGGTGAAACACAAAGTAGTGTCCGTGTTTCTGAAGTTCCTGTGAAAACTGGAGAAAAAAAAGTAAGATCATCTGCTCCAACAAACGATGCATTTGTCTCATGTGAATTCCTCGCTGCGTATCGTCAGTATCCCATTGCTGCATTTGCTCTCTGGTGTGTTGTTTACTTCTGGTTGTATTTTTAGCTGTACCGTTTTATTGTTAGTCTCTAGGAAGTGTTTATACTATTGTATATCAAAAATCAGTGTGTTCATGTGGAGAAATGTGTAGAAGCAGGGAATAAGATATTAAATATGCATGGATTACGGACATTTGTATGTCAGGCTCGTACCTGTTAATTGATTTGCTTTGTGAAGAACTCTCAGTGAAAGCAGGACTCTATTTTGCTGTGGACTGAAGTCACTAATGGATGGGAGGACATCCCCTTCCACCAGCATCCTCGGGGGCAGGAAAGCCTGGAAGTTGTTTGTGGTCTGTAAATCTGTAGAGAAGTGTGTGGCTGCAATGAAATCTACAGCATTAGCCCAGTCTTCACCGAAATTTGCTTCTGGATCAGAGAGATATTTTAAGCTGAAAGACATTAAAATAAAGATATAATAGATAATTGAAATCCACTGTAGAACACATTAGTCTATCATTTATGTCAAAGATGTTTTGTTCAGTGTAAGATCCTGAGTGGTCTCAGTGCCACGGTGACTTAAAGCCACCTTCCGCACTTTACACGTAATTTCTCCTGGCATCACTGCCTCTCGCCAGATGACATGGCTCCTGACTCAGGCCCTGGCTCCCAGAGAGGATTCAGCATCTCATGTTAAGCCCACAGCCTGCCCACCCATTGCAACCTGGGCAGCCGTCTCTCGCTGGTCATCCCATGCTCCAAGAGAGCAGAAGTAAGAGCAGAGACTAAAGAGTAGAGGCTAAAAGTAGGAAAGCTCATGTGGACTTTGTTCAGACACTGTCCTTCCAAAAAGGCACGCAGGTGGGAAGATCCCCCTTGGCTACCTGTCTCGTCCCCATACCTGTCCTGGAACTTGGGCAGTGCGTAAGCAATGGAGGCGACGTGCGCCCTCCACATGAGATGGAGGGCATCATCCAGTTTGAAGGAGGAGAAGGTTGCAGGGCTCATGGCTTTGTGTTCTGTAGACAACAGATACTGCAGCAACAGGGAGGAAAAAAGGCAGAGAAACGGGGTGGTGGTTTAAGACCAATGAATTTTTCAGACTTACGCACATACCTCATAAAATAGTAAGTTTGCAAACTAAGGGAGATTGCTTTTGAGTAGTTAGAATATGCTGCTTTGTAAGTAACTATAATGTCTGACATAGGGAGAAAAAGGTCATTAACACAGATTTATAAAGTGAATACGTATCCCCACTGAAGTTAACTGGGGTTGCCAGTTCTTTGATTTCAACAGAGTGAGGGTTTTACCTACATAATCTAGGTATTCTATCACAATAATTCAGTGGATTTTTGTATCTGAGTGCCATGGAAGTTTCTGTGCTGAAATATTGGATTCCTTGAAAACCTGTTTATACTCTTTTGGCCACAACTTTCTGGAGATTTTCAGAAAAGAAGAAAATAAATCTTAATGGTTATCATTATGGCTATTTGAGGAGCAGATCTTTTATAATAACTTCTGAAACACAGTGCTTAGGAAAAATAATCTTAAGAAAACAAATCCGATCTTGCTCCTAAAACCTCTACCTTCACTCACAGTTGCCAAGAGGGACTTACGGTTTAAATTTTCTGATCATTATCCATTATTTGACTACCAACAAAAATGTTGAATATAGAAGCCTATCTATAAAAATACTGTCATCTTTGGGATTAGGGAACAGATGAATGAGGAGGAAAGAGAATATCTACTTGCATAAGCAAGTGTCCTTCTGAATGAATTTTCAGCATTTTCAGTTTCTCAGATGTTCAAAGGAATAAATGAACCCTATAAAACCAACACAAGGCCATTTCTCAAGGGTAACATTCTATCTCACATGCTTATTTTGCATTGCTAACATAAGCAGTATAGCAAGAATACAAATATAGCTATTAACAAAACAGTCTCTTGGGACAGACTCCAAAATACAGAATTATCTTAAAGTAAGGGAAAAAATCCATAACCTGTAAAAATCCTGGCCTTCTTAACTCTGACTCACTTTATGTCATGTTTTTCATTTTTTTTGCTTGTTACTTTTATATCAAGCTGTTATTGAAAGCAAACCAAGCTCTCTGAGTCTTACAAATAACAGTAATAATATTTTTAAAAAGTAATATCCTGATATCATTTCCTACAAAATATTAAAAAAAGTAAAATTATTTACTTCAAAATAGGCCTTCCACTTATCCATGAGCTTGGGAATGCGAGACCGGCAGTCAGCAACACTGTAACAGAAATCAGCTCTTCGCTCCTCTGGTGGCAATATTTCTATCTCGTACTGCAGCTGCCCAAAGAGGCCAGCCTCCACTGCCCCCAGAAAGGGTATGACAGCCAGGTAGTAGTTCATACCTGAAACAATCATTTAAAAGGTGAATGTGTTAACTACATGCAAATGAAAAATTCCTGCACAGAAAAATGAAAACTCTCCCATACCAAATGCAACCGTTTCAAATTGCCACTGATACAACTGTGTTCAGCAGTGGGACGTATGTACCGAAATGCACTAATGATGATATCTGTATTGATTTAGATGTGATTTGTAATATTCATTTATATATTGTCCTTTAATAGCCTTGTATGAGCTGACAGTGTGCTATACTTTGCAGGAAAGGACAAACAACTGAAAAAAGTTAGATCTTTATAGGTTGTCATGGACAGGTCATCAAAAGTCTCTCAAATATTAGTTGGAAACTAAGTAGAGAAAGACTAAGTGGTACTCCATGAATATTGTTTTCATTAAAAATCTCTTCTATGCATGCTAGGTATAAGAAAGAAAAAGGCAAATACTAATGATATTTTACTGGAAAATACGAGCTTTGCTTTTAAAAAATATTTTGCTCACTGAAAACTTCTTGAAAATTACCTCAGTTTGTTTTAGATTTATTTTAGGATAATGGTTTCCTTTGGTCTGATCCATAAGCTGGAGCAGTCAGACCCAGCACGTAGGAAAAACAGGTTCAGTTCTCACCTGTGCCAGACCATGTCTCCAGTGAGAGTGCCCATAGGGCTATTTGGTATTCTTCATTTGAAAGGAGGATTTTAAATTCTCCTCTTAATTGTGTCCTTTTTGTAGAAATAAAGTTTAATAACTTTCAGTGAAGAAGGAGCCTGGAGACCAGCTGTTCTCCCTCTTGGATGGGTACTCCTGAGCCGTTACGCTGAGAAGTCATTTGCTTGTGCTGGGTCTCAGGGCCACGGACTGCCTAGGTGTTTTGTACACAGTCCCAGCAGTGAGGACCAAAGTCATCAAAACCTGACCACCTACCATGTATCCCTGTCCTACTCATGGGAAACTGTTGTTCCACCTCCTGTATGTGGGCCTGGCTGGGAATTCAGGAGGAAATGTATAGCCAGTCAGAAGAGCAAAGGAAAAGTCCCAAGTGGCGAGAAGACAGTGTCACACTGGGAGTCATTGTTGAGCTGGGCCTTGCTTCTTGTTCACTATTTTCATGAGAATTGTTGAAACCTGGATTTCACATCAGAAAGTACTTACAGTCTTTTAAATGGGCTTGCATATATTACATATTTATACCTGCTTGGGGGACTCAGAGGGCAGAAGACAATGCAGGAAAGGACCATACTGAATATTATTCTAGGCAAAAAGGACTGAACTTCTTGAGCAGGGAGCATCTCATACATCTTGGGGTGTATTAAATGGGAGTTTCTGGTTTAAGCTCATTCCCAGCTTTGTATGACTACTCATGCCAGAGAGGGCTGCCCTGAAGGCCAGCCAAACCACTTACATCCTCAGATGTAAGACGTAAGAGATGTTTCTGTGAAGTCTGAAAGACTTTTTTGCATGTTCCTGCTGCAACAGGGTAAATCAAGGCTGAGTTTATTCATTTTCTGGAGGCAACAAAATTGGTATGATGCAAACATGCAGTGTTTAGAAGTGAAGAGCAAGGTGGTTTCTGTTTCAGAAAGGTCTCCTGCTTGCACAGAGCTATGCAATGGCCCTTCTTACTTGTCACTGCATGGGACGCCTTCCCACAGAGGACCTAGTGCTAGTCACCCACAGAGATGGGAAACTGAACTTAGTAGCTGGAGTGAGTATCACACTAAGCTTTGGTTTTAGTCTAAATTTACATTTTAAATTTACTCTATGCTTATGTCTTTGATCACTTGAAGATATACACATTTAATTTCTGGCTTACAGCCAGAAGCTTCATTCCAAGGGCCCCTACAAGAAAGCGCTCATGTGGCTGGGAAGAGACAGAGCTGCTCGCTGCAGTCCGCCAGCAGGTTTGGTGGAAAGGGGACTTGTGACAGGACAGCAGAGAAGCTGAGGGAGTGAGGGACAGAAGTGATGGAGGGAAAATGTGCTACAGGAAAAAGAACATGAGGCTTTCCCTTCCCTAGGAAGGGAAAGAATATTTAAACTGGAGGACTTACAAGGCCTTTTACCTCCTTAAAACCAAAAAATATTTCAATCATTTTATTGCCTTTAGATACAAGTAGTGATTGTAACCAATAGGTCAGGCTTGTTCCCACCCCCCATCCTATCTGTCAGTTCTGTTTCTGAAAAAATAGAAGATAAACTTTCCAAAAGAGTCAGAGTTCCAGTTTCTGAAGAAAAATGGGAGTCTAAAAATATTGACTTTGACCTAGAGCAGATAAAAAGTAAATTTTAGGTTTTTTAAAATAATATGTTCATTCAGCTTTTGCATAATGGAAACAAAAACATCTTTTGGGGGATTCTATTGGACTGGTTGGAATATGTTACTCAGTTTGGGTGTAGGCAAATTAATTAAATATTTTTGATTTATCAAATGAAAAAAATTTAACTGTTGTTTATGTTTTTTCATGGGGTCAGAAAAAATTTGTCTTGTAAGATGAACTCTGGAAATCTAGGTATGCATTGTTGTTTGAGGTTTCTATTTCCATATAGACACTGACTGTAAAAATACCAGAGGGAAACAGGCTACACATGCTCTTGCACTTGAGACAGTGAGCATTGTAATATCGGTGCTTTCTCTATTGATGCTACAAGTGTTATTCCTTGGGCTGCCCTGTGCAACAACAAATGGATACCCTTAAGTTGCATGTGGCATTCCAGATCACTTCCTTTCCTCTTCTGCAAAGCTCTTAGCTAGAAATGGATACAACGTTATTTTCCTTTCTATGTAAAAATCTGGTTATAGTATCCTGTCTCACACACTATTATTTCTCCCATGATCCCAGCAGTGGACCTGCCCTTATGTCCCACAAGAAGATAAGGTGCCCTGCCACATCTACAAGGAGTGATGCCAACAGCACATATGGCTGAGTTAGCTCACAGTTGGTCCTTCAGTAGAGTTTGTCACTTTGCCTTTTCTCTGCACTGCCTAGTGCAAAGGTGGTTCCAAATTTGATGCCACCATCATTGAGATGACACTGCTTCCTGCAATGCATATTTGCTTAGGTGTAGTGGATAGACCCATTCTCCTGTTACATCTATGATATACATTTCTACAAATGAAATTCTTGTTTCTCTCAGGCTAAGAGAAACCACATTTTAACTTGATCCCTCCAGTTCAACAGGGCAACATATGAATGGCCTGAATTATTAAAAGTATCCAGGAACTTTGGACATTTCCATTTTTGGGAAGACTGAATTATCTGGATGTGTATTTTTAGAGATATTGAGGAAAACACTGAAAATGCCAGTGGCACTGACATTGGAAATTCAGACCTTTACACTTCTCTCTGTCTTCAGTTTGTTGCTACTTATCGGAATAATGAGAAAAACAAAACAAAACAAAACAAAAAAAAACCAAACAGAATTTCAGCCTACTAGAACTCCAAAGCCAATATTAAAGAGAACAGAAATTGTCTGATAGCTCATGTACACCAGGTCAAAGTATTAACTGAGTTTCAGCTCGGTACTTAAAAGCCTGCTGGATAAATGTTGTCAGTGCGATGAAGGTAATGAAGTTATTTGGATATTGTGGGCACAAAGTCTCCCTTTATTTCATTCTACTGACCACAGTGAAGTTGTGGAGGTGCAACTGAAGGCAGAAAAGTCCTGTCAGATTTGTATTACTGAGAGCGATGCAAGAACCACAAAGATTCTGCTTGACATTCTCACGCAAAGTTTTAGTTTGAAGTACTAGCATCTAAACAGAACAAATCTGCTCTGGAGTAATTGAAAACTGTAATTTCTACAAATGTCCACCAATATAGATACCCATCATGGTGTTTCTCACATGTTTTTGCATGCATTTGCATGCATCTAAACATTGTTAAGGCTGCAAATTTGCATTTTTTTCCTTCCTCAAATAAGTTATCAAAGTCAATTAGCTTTCATTTACTCACTCACACTTAGGTGTCTTGCTGCAAGTTTTTGATGGAGAATCATATAGCACTGGAATTACTTTGTAATACAGAAGTTTAAGGGGAAGAAAGATTCTAAATTGCCTTCTAGGACACTAACCATATTTCAGAGAAGAACAGTATAATAGCATATACTTACAGGACCACCAGCTTCTTACAGATATGCACAGGAGGTCTCCATCTTCATCACCACAGGAAGTCACACTGGAAGGATCTGCTAATCTGCCTGAATCAAATGAGATAATACACCAAATACTTGTCAGTCTTTTTCACACAAGAAATCCCACTGAGGTGAAAAAAATATATAGGAGTAAAGCATGAAGAATTTTGCTCAGAGAAGCAGAACGATTACTGTTGTTTTGCTTCATAAACTATTGTTCCTCGAGTAGCTGAATTTCTCAGTCAATACTTCATGCTGTGCATAGTAATTTGATTGTGTTTTACAGTTCAATTTATTCCTCACTGTAAATGTATTCTGAGAATTTATGGAACTGTCTGAAAGTAGGACATCACAGTGATATTTTTATGGACATATAAATACACATGCACATACAAGCATAAACACACGCATAACTGATTCATCATTTTCAATAGATGCAGGGCTGCTAGTGTAGGAGAGCTGCTTAACGAGCAGAATCACACAAATTAAATGTGCTGGTAATTGTCTCACCTAATTGGGTTGTGTGATACAGAATCCCTTCCAGTTTAACGACGCATGCAAACATGGCCTTACTGTGGAGCTAAGCATGCAAACGTTGTTGTACCTCATTAGCAGGGTTTTCAAGCATCTGTGCTGTAGCAAACGTGCAAGACATTTCACAATTATTTGTGACAGCATGTAAGGCATATTTTACTTTAAGCACGTGATGTGGAAAAATAGCCTAATTCCTGAAAGCATAATGTACATGTACATTATGTGGTAATTAGTCATACAGTGAGTCAGGAAGTCTGCTTTAAGTGTGTGATGTGAAATTACCATGGTCAGGTCCAATGACTTGAGCTATTCCAGAAGCTCCCAAACTCTGCCCTGCAGAGCACTTACTCTCTGACGAGTCAGCTGAATGCCAACACTGTCATTTCTGTCAGATTAGAACTAAACCTCATCACATTCTTTAAAAACCAAACCAAATTTTCTGATACTTTTTGCCTGAGAAGGAGAGATGATCATGAACCATGTACATACACATTATCTTAATTATCCTCTCCAGCTGACTGGACAGAGCTTGTGGTTTGGGGCATGCTGCCTGCTCAAGCCTGCATCTTTCAGTAGCAGAGCACTGAAAGCATGAACTTGCAGTGGTGAGGAATGCAGTTCAACAGGATTTTTTTTTTAAAGAAAAACGATTTTTTTAATATACAGAAATTTTTTTTTTCAAGATTCTGTTTTGACACAGGGCAACAGAAATAGGCAACAGTGGTTCACTGGTGTGCAAAGGGGATGAATGGGAAGGGTGAAGGAAAAGGAGAAAAAGAAGACAAAATGTTGGAGAAGAATTGTACATGAGATTTACCAAAGATTGTTAGCCTAGGTGTTTTGGGAAAATGAAGAGTGCTGGGCAGTATTGGTGGTAATTATAAGATATGTATAAATTACTTGGAGCTGGAAGCAGTAACCCTACTTCCAGGTCTACACTCCAGGTTTTGTCCTCTTGTCTCCCTCCTATTCCCTGTGCTTAACATGATTGTTATGTCAGTCTTCAGGTCTACCCAAGCTATCCCAGTCTTTCTCTGTATTGAGAGTGCCTCCCAGCTGTATGTCTTTAGCAAATATGTGCAACCTCATCAGCAAGGTTTCTCTGCTATTTTTTGTGGCAAGGCTGTTAATGAAAAAGCTAAATACAGTTGTTCTCAAGAATGATAATTGAAGAACTCTGAGCATATCCTCCATTTAGCTGTAAACTTCCCTTAGCAACACTTGTCACTAAACTCTCCTTTAGGTGTTCCCTTACCAGATTTGAAATTCCCCTTTTCATTCCTATTTTGTAAAATGTCATTAAAAACTTTCATAGAATCATGGAATCATAGAATTGTTTAGGTTAGAAAAGACTTTTAAGATCATCAAGTCCAACCTTAACCTAGCGCTGCCAAGTCCACCACTAGATCATGTCCCTAAGCACCACATCTACATGTATTTAAAACCACGCAAGGAAACGACACCGCACCGCTGCCCAGCTTGTTCCCATTTCCTCTTGTCCTATCACTTGTTACTTGGGAGAAGAGACCGACCCCCACCTCGCTACAACCTCCTTTCAGGTAGTTGTGGAGAGCAATAAGGTCTCCCCTGAGCCTCCTTTCCTCCAGGCTAAACAATCCCACTTCCTTCAGCCGCTTTTTGTAAGACTTGTGCTCTAGACCCTTCACCAGCTTCGTTGCCCTTCTTTGGACACGCTCCAGCACCTCAATGTCTTTTTTGTAGTGAGGGACCCAAAACTGAACACAGCATTTGAGGTGTGGCCTCACCAGTGTCAAGTACAGGGGGACAATCACTTCCCTAGTCCTGCTGGCCACACTGTTCCTGATACAAGCCAGGATGCTATTGGCCTTCTTGGCCACCTGGGCACGCTGCCAGCTCATATTCAGCTGGCTGTCAACCAACACCCCCAGGTCCTTCTCCACTAGGCAGCTTTGGCAGTGATAGGTTAACAGTTGGACTCGATGATCTTCAGGGTCTTTTCCAACCTTAAGGATTCTATGATTCTATGATTCCAGCCACGCTTCCCCAAGCCTGTAGCATTGCAAGGGGTTGTTGTGACCCAAATGCAGGACCTAGCACTTGGCCTTGTTGAACCTCATACCGTTGGCCTCAGCCCATCGATCCAGCCTGTCCAGATCCCTCTGTAGAGCCTTCCTGCCCTCCAGCAGATCAACACTCCCACCCAACTTGGTGTCGTCTGCAAACTTACTGAGGGTACACTCGATCCCCTTGTCCAGATCATTGATAAAGATATTAAACAGAACTGGCCCCAGTACTGAGCCCTGGGGAACACCACTTGTGACTGGCCGCCACCTGGATTTAACTCCATTCACCACAAGTCTTTGGGCCTGGCCATCCAGCCAGTTTTTTACCCAGTGAAGAGTACACTTGTCCAAGCCATGAGCAGACAGGTTCTCCAGGAGAATGCTGTGGGAAACAGTGTCAAAGACTTTACTACAGTCCAGGTAGACAACATCCACAGCCTTTTCCTCATCCACTAAGCGGGTCACCTTGTCATAGAAGGAGATCCGGTTAGTCAAGCAGGACCTGCCTTTCATAAACCCATGCTGACTGGGCCTGATCACCTGTTGTCCTGTACGTGTCGCATGATGGCACTCAGGATGATCTGCTTCATAACCTTTCCCAGCACTGAGGTCAAGCTGACAGGCCTATAGTTTCCTGGATCCTCCTTCCAGCCCTTCTTGTAGATGGGTCACATTTGCTAACCCGTAGGCGACTGGGGTCTCCCCATTTAGCCAGGGCTGCTGCCAGGTGATTTGAAGTGGCCTGGTGAGCACTTCTGCCAGCTCCCTCAGTACCCTTGGGTGAATCCCATCTGGCCCCATAGACTTGTGTGTGTCTACGTCATGTAGCAGGTCGCTAACCATTTCCCCTTGGATTATGGGGGCTTCATTCTGCTCTCCATCCCTGTCTTCCAGCTCAGGGGGCTGGGCACCCCGAGAACAACTGGTCTGACTATTACAGACTGAGGGAAAGAAGACATTAAGTACCTCAGTCTTTTTCCTTGTCCTCTGTCACTATGTTTCCCCCCACATCCAATAAAGGATGGAGATTCTCCTTAGCCCTCCTTTTGTTGCTAATGCATTTATAGAAACATTTTTTGTTGTCTTCTACAGCAGTAGCCAGATTAAGTTCTAGCTGGGCTTTGGCCCTTCTATTTTTCTTCCTGCACAACCTCACAACATACTTGTAGTCCTCCTGAGTTGCCTTCCCCTCCTTACAAAGGTCGTAAACTCTCCTTTTATTCCTGAGTTCCAGCCAAAGCTCTCTGTTCAGCCAGGCCGGTCTTCAAAGAGGAAAAAGCTTGCCTAAACTCCAGCCAAATTCTTCTTGCTGCTCTCTGGTGGCCAGCTAGTTGCCTGCTTGGATTTTGCTTACTCTACCTCCTTTTCCTCCTTTTCCTCATTTTGACTTAGCAGTTAATTTTCCATTAGGTGTGACTAAATGCTGACAGCCTTCCTTCAGCACCAGCTGCAGCGCCTCTGCTTCTTCCAAACATACAACTTCAGCCAAACCACCACCTCACAAAACTACAGATTGCAACCAATAAAGAAAATAACAGGCAGACAGAAGCATTTGCTTACACCTGGTTACCAGCAGGCACAAGTTCCTGAAAACATCATTGACTTTTATTCCTATCTTCCCACCTCTCCCAGTTGGTAGAACAAGGCAAGTCAACTCCAGCTTTGAACAGAAAGCTTCACTGCAAGCTGTGTGTGAGGCAGCGTGTGGGAGAACACGTTCTCTGATAAAGCCCTCGATAAGATACTGCAGCCTTAGCCTCAAAGGGCCTTTCACATGTGTTTCTGTGTCCGATTCCCTGGCATGGCCAATAAGCAAACAAGAATGACCACCCCAGATAACAACCAGCTTTTGGGCGATGAGCTATTAGAATTTGGACATAATTTAAAAAATAAAACAAAACCAACCAAACAAACAAAAAAACCCAACAAACAGAACAAACCTTAATTTTGTAAAGAACATATTTAGAAAATAATGAGGCTACTACTAAACTGATCAAAAATGGCAAATGGTAACAAATTCTCAGATGGAGAGGTGGACTTTCAATTATCTGTATTAGAAATGAAACTCAAACCACTGATAAAAGATCATAACATTAACAACCCAAAAACCCCTATCAGTTAATGATTTAAGAACCGCACTGCAAAGTGCAGGACTTAAAATATACCTACTGTAAATTGGAACAACTGAGAATATCTTTTCAAAGATTTTCAGCTAACTGAAATATTACCCATCTAAACCACAGATCTTCTAGATTCTGACCAGTCCCGTGTTTAGCAATACCTTTTCCTATTAGGAAGTTTAACAGCTATTGCTCAACAAGGCAAGGGTGTTCCCGTCATTCAGGATTTCTCTTTCAAAACGGCAGCTTAGCTTGGTATGTCAAAATTTACACTGTCTGAGGCTATACGGGGCTTGCGATGCAGAAACCTTGGAAAGGATGATCCAAAGTGGGTCTGGTAAACACTTAGCTGTTCCAGTAGCTTAAGGACATAACTCATACCTGTACGAAATTGCCACCCATGCTGCAACGGTAATCCCCAGAGAATATTGCCAAAATTTTGGGATCCAAAGGCAGTAAAATATTTGGCTGAAGAATTTAGCAAGTTCTTGTACACTCCCAGTCGTTCTTGATAGTTCCAAGCATTGATGACACTTTTGTTATCCTTTACTAGGAAATCCAGCAGGTTTTCAGGGGCAAGGTCCCACAGAGGGGGATAGACATCTTCTCCAGTGGCATCTTTTTCACTTTGTGCTGTGGCAATCACTGGACTCAGGGTAACAGTCACTATAAGAAGAGCATGTATGCCAAAGTAGGGCTGCATTGTGAAGGTTTGTGACCCAGGTGTTTGTAGCTGCAGGGCTTTTATCAAGGAAAGGTGAGGGTTGGGCAAAAAAGGGTGAGTCAGATGCAGAGGTTTCCATCTCCCTTCCTTCTTTCCTGTGACCTTGACATGGAGTTGCCAGATTAGCAAGCTGTGAGTAATGCTCTGTCCTCCCCATGGCATCTGGGGAGCAGCAGCAGATGTTTAAGAGGGTTCAGTAAGACCAGAAAATGTCCAAATCTGTGCTGCCCGTGGCATATACCCACCCTCCCAAAAAGCTGAGGTGCTACAGTACTGATTGTATAGTTGCGTTATCAACCTTTTTGTCCCCGTGTTTCTTACTAGCTGTCACCTTCTCCTTCCCTGACTAATTCCTTCAGGTAAAGAAGGGACAGCAATGCCACAGAGCTCACCCCAAAACAGGCACAGGCAGGGTTAGGTTAGAGCTGAGGTGCTCTGAGGAGGGCTCCAGGCGCCGACCAAGGAGTAGCAGTAACATAAGGCAGGTGCTGCTGTTGGCACCTTAGTCTTTTGGCCTTGGGACAACTGCCTGCAGCATTCAGATCCTAAAAGCATTGAAGGCAGCCAAATCAGCCTGGTTGCATGTCGCACAGCACCTGGATAGCTGTATGTTTAGTGTTTGTTTGTTTGTCTTGTGTGGAAATGGTTATTATAAAGATCTAAAGTCTCCTACTAAACCTCCATGATCTTGTAGACTCCAAAGGGAATACAAAGGCCACCCATCCACTGATAAAATCAGTGGCTGACTAAGTTACACTCCAACAAAAATGGAACTGTCCAGCTACGTTCACCTCACCTACTTCTAGGACTTTATAATCTCCAGCTGCTTTTTCTCAGATAAGCAATGGTTACAAAAGAGCACTCAGCAAACAAACACTTAATTTCTTATCTCTGTAGCCTTTCTTTCACATGAGAAAAATTGCAAATGCCTAATTTCTTTGAATTAATTCTGTGAGTTTTGGTTGGGCTTCGTGTGTTTAAAGTACCTTAAACCCTGGATGCGAGCAAGTCAAAACTGGCTGCAAACTTTCGACAGTAAATTTAAAAGAAATGTATCAGTTCAATTCAAAAATTTTCCATCTTCTCTATTTATTAAGGAGACTTTTTAGTAAATAGCATAATTTTTCAATGGTCACTTTTTATTTTCGGCTCCACTACTGAGAAAGAAACCCAAAGGCTTTTGAAAAACAATCAGTGTTCAATACAGATTAGCACAGATCTGAGAACACTTTTCCTAATCATGCTGCCTGACAGAGGTTTCAAATAACCAAGTTGTTCTTTCATTAAGTTTCTATGGATGGGATTTATCTAACCCAACTGTGGACATTTAAACATTAACCTAGCTATGTAGATTCCCTCGATAGCCAAAGCAGAGGATCAGGTATGTCCAGAATGTAGCTCGTTTAAAATATACCACTGAGAGATGTATTGCTCTTGACTGACTGTAGAGGGAGTTGAAATTACAGGTTTAGCTTTAGACATAGAAAAAGACTTCCAGATTAAATAAAATCAATATTGTTTTTACCTACTTTCACATAATAGTTTCAGAAATGTTTTCAAAGGTATTTGTTTTTTCTTGAAAGATGACATTCTACAAAATAATGCTGAGGATAAATGTCAAGAACTGTGTTGTTTTTATATATATATATTAGGCTCTAATTGAGGTAATGGGCAGTGAGGCTCACCTGAAAAGCAAGGATCCTGAAAGGCATTAGCTAGGGCACAAGATACATGGAGGAAACCTGTGATTCTATGACATAAAAGGCACAAAGGTCACAATAGCACTAGGGCAGAAATTTTAGTTGGAAACATGAAGGAGTGAGAGTTATTTTTACCATCACTGAAAGAAGTGTCCTGTTTGGGAGTCTAAACTGGCAGGCACACAAATATGAATTACTAGTCTGGATGCAAAAACATACTTTCTCAAAAGACTTACAATAAATAATTAAGATAAATTAATGACATAATGCTTGCCTTATGTCAAATTTTGAGCTATTTGATAAAAAAGGTCTGTGCTATACACTAAATGGTAAATAATGTAAAACAAGAATACGCCTACTAGACAGACTCTGCTGAATTCCTTCATTTCTTGAAGTTTGAGCCTTTTGCCTTATTATGGTGACAAAGGACTTCAACAACCCAGTTAATCTTTAAAGTGTCAATAATAATTTTTAAATTAATATAATAAAAATATTCTTCCTGGAAAATTTTATAATTAATTTTATAGCTCTTACACCCTTTTCCACTTATCTGTGTAGGCAAATAAGTTGCTGAAATTTTTATAAGACTTTAAGGACAACAGCTTTCCTTCAAGAAGTCTCTGCATTGCCGTTTCCAGCTTGGAATCCTGTCCTGTTGGTTTGCTGCCCTGAGAGGGAAGAGGGGAGGATTCATGTGACATCAAAGGGATGTGAGTGGTGTTGGTATTGGATCTTGAGTCATACCATCCCTTCAGGGATGTCAGCATTTTAAATAAGTGGAAGATTAAGGAAGACTATTAGTAATGTCAGCATCACTATTCTATTTACCACTGTCTTAATAAGTACTCTACCAGTTACTCAGTACAGCTGTGCTCTTACAGACATTGTAACAGATGCAAGTCCTGGAAAAGACTGTAGATAGTGATAGATGGTGCATTTGGGTCTGATATGTAATTGTTGTCAAGTTTCAAGAGAGAACACTATAGTTTTGAGCTGGGCTGCAAAGTTTGCTTCAAGATAACTGCAGAAAAGCTGATAAGCATCAATTAGATTAGTTGAGGTGACTGTAAGAAGAAATGGCAGCCCATGTTTAAGTAAGTCCCAAAACTATCAAAACATAAAGTTCCTTAGTCCTGATGGGACGCGCTGAGGAAGGAACTGGCAAGCCAGTGAGGAAGAGGCATCAGTGCTATCACTGGAATGAACTCAGAACTGATGCAGAGCTTTGCAGGTGAGAAAACCTTCAGGTAACCTGGGGAGGTCACTATCCTTCAGTCACATAAAACAGCACTGAAAGGAAGGGTTCACCCACTTTCTTTTAGGGTAAATTTCCTAAGGAGAAGAAGAATGAGTTTTCATTTAGATGGGATATTGGTCTGGATGAGCCTCCCTGTCACCTGTCACCCTTTTTTCATTCCCTGACTCTCCCACCAGTGATTGTGAGGGCTGCTTGACTGCAAGCCGTTCCAGGGAAAACAAGACCACACTGTAGCTAAAGGTATTCTTCATGTATTTCACTGGATAAACTTGTAGCAGTGAATATATTTAGGTTGCTTAACAATCTCTGTTGCTATTGTCTGCAGCTATTGCTTTGAACAGACTTGCTATTTCTTTTTGTCACAGGCCTTTGCTATTTGGCAGGGAGAATCTCTCTGGCCCCAGTGTCCTCCAGCAAAACCCCATGACAGGGCTATAAAAGGGATTTTAAATTGCTGCTTCACTTCTCTTAGGCGTGGTTGTGAGTAAAGGTCATCAGCCAAAGCCCCTGGCCACATGAGTGGACTCTACCACTAATGCAGCAACACATGTTATGGTAAGAGCATCAGGCATCCGAGGGGAAGTTACGTTGCGTGTGTGGTGGAGCTAGCAGGAGGTGCTGTATCCTTGTATCCTGGCTCCTCCATACATCCTTAGACGTAAAATTTCTCCTTCTTTGGAAAACATCATTCTCTCGTTATCTATTAATCCTGTACTCCCCTCTGCAAAAGCTTTCCCATGTTATCTGCTGATCTTGCCTCACCAGGAAGAGTAACCTGTGCTGCAGATCTGACAATTCAGGCTTTAAATTGTGCTGATAAATCCTGTTGATGAAGGATGGTAATAATCAAATATCCACTTTGTCTTTTTTTTTTTTTTTTTAACAGAAGCAATCTACTGAATTGGGCATACACAGTAGCACCAAAAAAAAATTAAAATTAAATTTAAATAAACTGATAATGAATAATGTTCCAAATAAAACCCAATTGCTCCTATTTTAGGAAATACCAGATTCATAGTTGTGGTGGGATATCTACCACATGCAGTTTTTCTTTCCCAGATGAAGCAGTCATTTTTCTGTGAGGCTGGCTGGGTGAACGACTGGCTGGATAAATGGCTACAAAGACAAGTGTAAATCCAATGTTTCCAGAGTTCCAATTCCTAATATTAAGAGAAGGTGAACTACCGGCAAGGTAAAAATATTGATTTAGGATCAAGCCTGTACACAAGATGTGTAATGGGTACCTGATGCTGTCCCAGATGCACCCTTTCAGATCAGAGTGCTCCAGAGGAGGAGTACAGGCAATACTCAAATTTCCTGAGCTTGCCTGCTTGCAGGACCAATGTTAAGATATTTACATAAAAAAACCAACCAAACAAAACCCCCTGCATCAGACCTGAAACAGGAAAATTTGAATCAACCTATGTTTTTCATTTTCATAAGGATATCATGGAGGTGTATTTACCTTATAGGTTAGTTCAGATGGTACTATAACCTTCACGTCTTTTTGTTATCTTCAGCCCAGAAGGTGAAGGTTAAACTGATCATGGAGTTAAATATCTGTAGCGCTTAGCACCTACAGATGTATGGTCTTCATCATCACCTCTTCCACAACACTTATCATAAAAGACATCAGCCTTATTTTCATAACGTGATGGATATCATTCCTTTGAGGCAGACCACACTAAACCCCCACTCACTGAAACACATATTTAAAATTTGGTGAAACCAGAATAGATAGATATATTCCTGAGAGCATCAGGGTTGTAAAGAATTGTCTAATGTAGGAAGATGACAGTACATTTTTAATATAATATGTCTATTTTGTCTCAGAGATAGTTACTCAAATACAGCCCTAAGTCTGCAAATAAATGCAAGGAAATCTTTTGGCTGTTTGTTTGTGTATCACTAGGGAAAGAGCAAACTGCAGAAAAAAGTACCAGAATCACATTGTGAGTTGGCTTTTTTTCAATCTTTCATTAATTATGCATCCATTTATAAGACAAATTAACTGAATCTTC